TGCATCGGAGAGAGATGCTTTTAAATCTGTAAATTAGGGATGTGAATGATTAATCGGCAAGGCTGGAGCATCCCCCCATGCGCCGCGGGCAGGGGTGCTCCTGAATAGCCAGAGTCCTCCTCTCGCCCCCATTTAAGCAGTGAACTGGTTAAACGTAAGGTTTAAATGACTGCCTGATGAAAGGAGATTTTACATCCCTACCGTAAAACCCTGGGAAAGCCCCATCTAGCTAGTCAACGGTGATTTACACCAAGAGCCAGTCAGATGCTCAATAATGGAAATCAAAGCAAGTCTCACCCTGGCAGGATTGCACGGGGCTCTGCTAGACACGGACGTGAGTTCTGTCAAACAACTGACACTGGAGACACTGGGAAAAATCCTGAATTTGTAAAGACCGGGGGAACAAGAGAAAGGCCATGAAAGACGAATGTGTTAACTGTTTATCTGAGATCATCCCACATATTTGGCACAGCCTCACCCTGCACGTCCCGTGGGAAAAGCATTCAAACCAAAAAAGGGGTTTTGGAAATGAAGGAAGGAACCTTGCGGTCGGGAGGCAAAACAGCCGGAGAAAAAATCCCATCTTTCCAAGGAGGAGAGAAGTGCTCTTATCAAAGCCTCAAATCTCCTGTAATTAGCTGATGACAAGCCAGACCCTGAATTCATTTCCCTTCCTCCACAATAGTGTCATTCAGCCCCAGCGAGGCAGGGCAGTCAAGCAAGGCCACATTGTGCAGGAAACACTGGAACATGAAAAGCAAAATCGGGGAGGTAAAAAAACAGTGATAAATAATACAGCCCAGAATAGGGATGGAGACATTGTTTATACCAGAGCTGCTAGCGAGCACAGATCCATGTCTGACAAACAGACAAGATTAGAGTGTTCTCTCTGTACTCCCCAACCGTCTCCTTCGGAATACAGCCGGAGATAAACACAGACAACCTCTCTCATTCTTCTTCAAGTGTGCTTGAAAACCCCTGTAACCGAGTCTATGGAAATTGACAAGAGTCTAAACTTTTCAGTTCAGACAGACTCATGCCAAAAACTCTACAGACGCAAGCGCTCGAGTAAGGGTTGGAAAAGGCCTCTGGTGTCAGACAATTGCTTTCCCTCTGAAGGGAGGAAAGTCAGCAGCACGTTGCCTGGGAAAAAAAACAGCTAATGGTCTGGTAGCACTTTATAGACTAACAAACCATGTCGATGGGATCATGAGCTTTCACGGGCACAGCCCACTTCTTCAGATGACTGGAGTTATGAGTTTACGTTGTGTACACCCAAAATAAATAGGAGGGGAAGGGGAGGGAAGAAAAAGGGGGGGGGCGAGTGGATTCTTATCTGCTCCAGTTTAACTAACCAATCTTCAGATACTTACTGATGCTCTGTCTCCCATCCCCTCCTTTTTCCTTCCCTCCCCTTCCCCTCTCCTATTTATTTTGGGTCTGCACATGCTAAATTCATAACGCCGGTCATCTGAAGAAGTGGGCTGTGCCCACGAAAGTTCATGATCCCATCAACATGTTTTGTTAGTCTATAAAGTGCTACCAGACCATCAGTTGTTTCTTTTCCCTGTAACAGACTAACTCGGCTACCCCCTGAAGCTTCTGCCTGGGAAAGATGGCCTGGCTTCCCTGGCTCTGCCCCGTTTTCAGAGAAAAATCTTTTCCTCCCCACGTAAGTTGAGCCGCTTGTCTACAGGGTGGAACGGTGCCAGGAATATTAACTCAAGAGCGCTGGAAGACACTGTCCAGAGCTACACGCTTGTGCAGAATGATTCTGTGGTTATAAGAAGTGATGGTGACATGAAATAACTAATTCTCCAAACACTTTGGTTACTGCTCTTATATGGAGCTGCAAGTACACGGCAGGGCCAGGCTGATAAGGCAGGCACGCAGATGATTGACTGGCGCACGGAGCCTCTTCCAAGGCACTCTGACCTATGCCTCCAATATAAAGCTTCCCTTTTTCAACTCAAAGCTTGACACCCCTTTTTGCCGGACCCGAATGCACAGCCTGAGGCACTCGGCAATAAATAATTATCACCTGGGAGAGCATAATCCAGAAACCAAAGACCCATTTACAAGGTAAATCACACGCGTAATCGCATCTGGAGCAAATACTTTTAATGCATTTACTCTTCGATGCCAAAGTGCATACACAAGACTCCAGTGTTTTAGCTCATTCACCTGCACCGGGACTCAAATGTGAAACTAATATTTAATGTGCAATCCATCTTCTGCAAAGAAAAACGTGATGCGGGAGGTTTCCTCAGAGCTGTATTTGGTGAACGTTCTTGACTCAAGGCTTTAGGGGCGTCCCTCTCATGCGGACACCCCTTTCCAAAGACTCTCTCTACATTCTACTTTGTTCCCATCATGGATGACTGCATCCTGTGATCTCACGCCACTTCTTAACCCTTTGAATGCTGTGCACGAGCACGGCGCTCAGGTGGGAATTGTCTGCAGACGTGCCAGCACGCCATTGGAACAAACCTCCGTGGCAACGCTGGAGGTACGGTTTTGCTTCACGCACCTGGCACACGTTAGACATAACTCAAGTTACGAGGCATTTTCCTGATGCAAACCTAACCCTACCAATGGCTCCAAAGGGTTAATAACTAGAACCATTTAATACAGACTACAGTCCCCATGGAGAGGCAACAATGAAACCAAAGCAGTAAATCCCAGATAATAGCCACATAAAGTCAGTACCTTGAGGTCTCTTTTTCTTCCCTAATTTACTGGCTAGAACTTGGTTTGGCAGCGAAGGCTGCACTTAAACCAAAAACCGACGGATCTCTTCCTGGGTTTCCCTCCATTTCAAAGCAGTTCTCTGATGCTGAGTTGTCTTTGGGATTTTTACAAAGAGGTGGCAAAGCTCAAGCTACCACTGAATCAGGCTTATGTGCCGAGCAATCGGGAATGTCTTCCCAATCATTGTTTTCTTAACCTAAATGGCGGGTCGATTCGAGTTCAGAGATGGAAGTCCCGGGTGTTAACCCCCCTCCATACTTTTCCCAGCCCTGTTAACATTTTCTTGATGCAAAAGCTGCTAGTAAAATACTGAAGAGAATGACACTCCTTTGTCTCGTGATATCGCAGAACAACTTTGCCTCTCTGTGTGCATTTAGGAAAGCCCGAAAGGAACGGCCAGTCGTGTGCACGCATCCTTTTCACCAACTTGCTTTGCGGATTCGCTTTCGTAACAGAATTGTGTCTTGGAAATGGGGCATCTCCCCCAGCAAGACAAAGCCGTGCTGCAGCAATCTCGGCGTGACATTTGAGGAAGCTTTTTAAGTAATGGGTTTGAATACGTCAGTCACTTGAAAAGTTCAGGGAAAGAATTTTCTTAATCTAGCAATTGTATTTTACCTCTCCGGCTTGCAAAGTTACAAACCCTACCCCCCCTCCAAAGAGAAATAAACCACTGGCCTACAAAAGTGACCTCTTTGTACCTGGGAGAAGAGCTACCATTACAGAAAACCCAGCTGGGAGAGGGGACAATTAGTGCAGCTTGCAAGCAGTGTGAGCAAACTCTCAAGTAGGTAGGAGGCAGAACTTCCTCTCCTCCCCCTCCCCCAAATGAAGGGATTTCCTGTCTGACATACCCCGGGTTAGTAAGTGAGTAACAAATACCTCATTATCTGGAACCAATCCATCTGTTCTAGCAGGCGGCCCTTCCGCAGCAAGAGCCGAGATAGGTAGCCAACACCTTCCCCCCAGATGCCGCAGAAGATAATTCCTTTGCTTGGAGGGTTGGGAGAGGAGGGGGCTCTTCCATTCCCAGCCCAGCTGCAGGAAGCATCTGTGTGCTGGGCTCCGGAGCACGGGATCCTCCGGGTGCTTGGCCAGAGGCAAGAGGTTCCTCCAGCCCAGGTGACTTAGCAGCAGGCTCCTCCGGGCCGCAGGGCAAAGCTGGGGCCAGCTCTTCTGTCCCAGCCTGCGCCTTTGTGCTGGGAACTGCAGCCACTTTCGACTCCCCTGGGCTGGATGGTGTATGGGCGGGAAACTCTTCCGTGCCCAGCATGTCCCTGGGGAGCTCCACCATGCTGGATGCTGGAGCAATGGGAGCTTGCTGCCCGGGTCCTAGCGGTGCTGAGACAGGCTCCTTCATGGCTGGTGGTGCGATGCAGGAGGCAGGTTTCTCCGTGGCTGGTGGCGTGGCGTTGGCGGCTGGCGGTGGAGCATCGGCAGCAGGCTCTTCTGTGGCTGGTGGGGCGGCGTTGGTTACTGGTGATGCGGCATCGGTGGCAGGCTCCTCCATCGCTGGTGGTGTGGTGTCGTCGGCTGGGGGGGGGGGGGCACGGGGGCTCGGAGCG